CTAGTAATTGCAACTAAATGTGAAAAAACTAGGAATCGACGCCCCGGGGCGTCGATTCCTAGATTTTCTCACATTAAGTTGCGATAAAAATATTTCGTTATTCAAGAAATTAACAAAATATATCTAGTTACTCGATAAATATTTCAACTCTGAATATAACGATAAAGTATTGTCAATGAAAAACTATTTTTTAAATAATTCATTTTAGCGAATTAATTTACCTCTACGGTCGATACCCTACTGGGCAGCTTTTGTTACGCTTGTAAGTAATAATTTCGATCAACTATCTCCAAATTAATACATAACGATATGATTTATAATTAAAACAAAAATTATTATATATGTAACTCACAGTTTAGAAAACTCGCACAAAACAAATGTCATACACACAGCAGCTATGAGTCAATTTTGCGGCCCGCGCGCGACATCTGTGCCCACAGCGCCAACAATTGTTTGGAAAAACTATTTTGTTCGTGATTAATGAATAAATCAAGGTGAATTTACGTGTCAAACTATTTATCCAGCTATATCACGGACAGATAACTAATTCTAACTGTTTTGAATTTTGTCCTAGCTCAAATATGTGTGTTTTGTTATAGTTTTGATGGCATTAAACTTGACTAGTTTTAATGTCTGCGATGTTTGTATCAATTAAGCTATAATAATATTAATTACTGTGGTTTAAATAAAAAACTTTGATCATGTAGTTTTGTTATGGTATTTTTGTTTTAATTATGTTATTTTTGTTTTAATTATGGTTTTTTATGTTCGATGATGATCACAACTTTTATTTATAATTTATAATCTATTGTGATTGTACAAGGTTTTCATGCAATAGAATAATAACAATAACGTTAAGCAGTTAATTAAAAATATAAAAAATATAACAACATAATTAAGTTTGCTACAGAATAAACATGTTTACATTTAATAACACTTAAATGACTATTAATAAACTATTATATTACATAATTATAATTAAAAACATTTATTACTTATTAAGCTGTGTGAGCCTTTATGGTCAACTATAAATACAATACTTATTATTATGGAATATAACTGTTAATGTAAAATATATAATCTATAACATTATTTGAAATATTTTCATACATGATAATTACTTAAAAGATGTCGACAGGACATTATAATAACAATTAAATTAGTTATAAAACAAATTAAATACCAAATTATAATAATTAATCAATTGTTAAAAGCTTTTATATTAATGATTTATTACTTTATTTATAATTAATTTCAATGTCTTCGTATAATAAAAGTTTTACCAGAAGTGTACTGTTAATCCCATATGACATTTTATAAATTGTAATTTTAATCAATTAGTACTTTTAATACTTTTACATTTAGTGATATAAAGTTGAAATACACCAAACCTTAAATTAAAAAAATTTAATTTAAACAAAAGAGCCTAAAGAATATTGTAAAATGAACCCGCATTTGCGTGGCTTATAAAATACAACAGTTTGACCGTATATTGGCTAACATATGGCAGTCGTTCGGCTCTCCGTGCCGTTTGACGTACAATTGAAACGCCCGGTAAGACTCACGCATACCTCCGTTGTCGGCGATATTCTCGCCCACAGTATTCTTGCCGTTCAACTGATTTGATTCATTCAATTAATAATTAGTTATTCATACATAATATAATTAAGTGTGAAAACACACATTCATATTAACTTCCGGCACATAAATACTTGAATACTCGCTAATAAAACAGTAGGCCTTTTGCTCAAACCGTTGGCGGATGTCTTCAGACCACCAATTGATTAGATCTCCTTTGAGGTCGAATTGACTATTTTTTTATAAACATAATTTCAAATTCGAAATTAATACACATTTTAAGCAAAATATTACAAACCATACCCTTGTCATCAAATCCATGGGTCATTTCGTGTCCGACAACCTGTTTGTTATATTAATTAATTATAAAATTGAAATAAATATAATTTCAACACTCGGTTGTAAACACATACCAAACCGATGGCCCCGTAGTTTAGATACGTCGGTCTTTGACTATCAAAAAATAGGAGTTCCGGCCGAAATTGCTTTATAGATAACAATATATAATTAGTATTTAATATATAACTTAATGATATGTAATATTTACTAATTGAGTTCTGTGTGGGTTTGTAGGCGGCGTTCACAATAGCCGGAGGCATTGCCCAACTATAACAATACACATACATTACTGTATAATTAATCAATTATTTATAGCATAACTATTACCTAAGGGTGAGATTTACCGCTTCTCTAATAGATTTAAATTCACGCAAAACAAGAATATTCTGTATATAAAGCAGGCCTTCAAACGACTTCTTTGGATCTACTTTTTGTTTCTAAACATTAATTCAAATAAATATTATTGTAAAAAATGTGCAAAAAATCTATCATTTCTAACCAAATTATAATAGTTATCGAGTTCTTCATTGTTTAACAGCCAATCAGTAAAACAAATGTTTTGTTTAATTGCATTCAATTTGTTTATCGATTTATTTTTAGTCGATTCGTCCAACCAATCACTTTCTGCTATTAATTCATTATACGATTCTTTAATGTCGCTAATCATAAGCGCCGCCTGAATATAGTTTACATCGTTATTATTATAATAATTCAACAATTTATAAACAATTTTGACAACAAACCTCTTGTTTATCCTTTTGGGAGAAATTATTGTCGACATAAAGACGATTCATATTATAACTCTCTCTCTCTCTCTCTCTCTCTCTCTCTC